CCCCCTGCTTGTGTTCCCTCTCTCGCTGTGTCTCTCTCTGTCAAATAAATGAATAAAATCTTTTAAAAAAAACCAGAACATGAAAACAGTCTCATGAGTTCTTGATACTCAAAAAAGAAAAAAGACAAAAATGAAAACTGATACTGAAAACAATTTAAAAAATACATAGGTCAACACCAAGATAATTAATGCATTCTTCCTCCTTCCTCTAGAAATTTAACAATTAGAGGGAAAAAAATGAAGCATTTACCTTGTCTTTTGCGTATGAGCTGCATTTTAGAGAACACAAGTGGCCATACTTGATGAGGGAAGGTTCTTCTTTACAAGAGCATCCCAGCTAATAAATCCGACAAGAATGTTCACATTAGAAAGTCATCACTTGTAATCCTTAGTGCAATAATTGATTTGCGCAAGGACCATCAAAAGGTGGAAGGCTGATGAAATTTACAAGAGGGGTTGAGTTGTCCCCTCTGGATCTAGGCATCAATCTTAGCATCACTAAAGAGGTAAATTACTATATGCCACCTGTTATCATGTACTCAGTATTAGTACAGGGCATTGCCTTTGAAATACTCTTCCACAAAGAGCTGACCTGGAATCTAATCAAGCCTCGAAATGTAACAAGTTTAATGGTAGGACAATCGACCCACTTTCTTCAGCAAAGCAAAATTATTAAGAAGAAAAAAAAAGGCAGGGGTGCCTGGCTGGTTCAGTAGGTGGAACATGAGACTCTTGATCTTGGGGTCGTGAGTTTGAGCCCCACGTTGGGTGTATAGATTAAAAATTAAATTTTCAAAAAGAAAAAAAAGGCAGAGGGGGTGAGAGAAGGGAAGCACTCTAAGATTTAAGAGACGGAGTGGGCATGTTGTGTGGAAAAGATAAAATTGTAGAATTATTTTTGAGGCATTTTAAAAATTCTGATATGTACTTGATAACAAGGAATAATTGTTAAATTTTTTTTAGGTATAATATGGTCATGCAAGGAAATGTCCATTTTTTAGAAAGTAATATTGAAGTATATAAGGATGAAGGGACATGATAATGTCTGGGGTTTGCTTTAAAATACTTCGGAAAAAAACAGATTAAAAGCAAGGAGCTATAAAGCTAATATGACAGAATCTTGATAACTGTTGCGTGTGATAATGAGTGTGGGGTGATTCCTTCTATTATTCTACTTCTGCATATTTTGGAGAATTTTATATGATAGAGTGATGTTATCACCATACCACAAGAAATAAAGTTGGTTGTTTTTAGCAGAAGTTTAAGAGGAAACGTGAGAATCACAGAAAAATCTCATTTCCACACACTAGGTTTATAGTATTGATTATTTATTCAACAATAATTAAAATACAGATCCAATAAGACCAAGTGGCAGGTGAGGAAGATTTTTTTTTTTTTAATGGAATTTCCTCAATTCAATCAATGAACTGGTGAATCAATGAAACGAAGACACACAAGGTAAAGGTAAAGGAAGGAAATAGTTGGCCACCTTCTGCCCAAACCACCTTTGCCATGGTCTTGAATCTTTGGAAATATTTGATAGAACATCCTACTAATACTTCTCATAAACTCTTGGTCAAGCTGGATTCGCAAAGCCAAAGCAACCAGGAGTTTTACATCTCTGAAGTTTGAGGATGCACTTGGCTAACCATGGGGAATTTGTAAGAGAGGAAAAGTAACCCACTTAACATCATCATGAAGGCAGCCAGACATGCCGCCAGAAAGGCATTGCCAATCTCCTGAGTATTTGGCTTGAAGGGTATAGAGAGAGATGGGGGGAAGGTAATACCTTCTTCATTCATCACGGAGTGGTAATTCCAGACCACAGCGATTGAGATACAGATGCCAGCAGCCAGGTTCAGAATTCCTGACGCAACAAATGGATTGAAGGTGGCATTCTTCTGAAGAGCTCCCATGCACGCATTTCTAAGTGCAAAGATGAGGGAGGCTCTCCCTAAAAGGCCTAGAATGCTGGCGACCAGCAGGAGATTTTGAGAAACACGAATATCAAGAGGGAGGTAAGTATCACGGTAGTTGTAATGGTGGCAAAATGTGGCTCTGTTATAGTTGCTGATGTGGTGGTAAATGCAGACTTTCCACATTCCCACGCACACCAGGCCAGAGGGAAAGAGAGAGGTGTTGTCCAGGTACCATACTCTCCACTCCACGAGGCCCATAGAAGTGGTGGTGAGGATCCATCCGACCGTGGCGATAGCAAAACCTGCCACTTGGCAGTTAGCGCTATTGAACAGAAGCATGGTGGCCGCGCACCCAGGGAACTGCAAACAAACACAGAGCATCGTGAGGGTGGGGCCCTTGGGCTTGGAACAACGCCCCCGTGGGTATGCAGAGCTATATTTGAGAAGAGAGACATGGGACGTTCACATTCTGCTGGTGGGAGCGTAGAGCGAGCACACTTTGTGAAGGACCTTTGGCACTATTCATCAAAAGCCTTAAAATGTGCCGACTTTCAAACAGGCGGTTCCAGGGCGCCTGGGTGGCTCAGTTGGTTAAGCGACTGCCTTCGGCTCAGGTCATGATCCTGGAGTCCCGGGATCGAGTCCCGCATCGGGCTCCC